GCTCCGTCGGCCCCATGGGCCCAGAGCTGCGCCTGTCCCTGCCCCTCAGGATGTGCAGGGAGGGCGTGGGCTGGCCACGGCCCGGCCACATTCCTGGCGAGTGTCCCCTCATCTTGGCCTTGCGGTTGCATCAGGACAGTCCCTGGGCACAGCGCCACTATGGAGAAGAGTGGGAGCCTGTGTGGAGCCCAGGCTGTGGCCACCATCCCCAAAACAGCTCCAATTCCTCACGGCTGTTATCCGGTCCAAGCCATGGCTTCATGCAGCCAAGGTCCAGGCTGCCTCTGCTCACCTCTCACAGTGGCATGGCTGAGTCAGATTTTCAGCCAGGAAGCTGGTCAGTGGCCAGGAGTGGGACACTGGAGCTGTAGGTTGCAAGGGGAAAGCCCTGGTGGGGCTCCATCTCAGCCTCCCCCGCCTTGAGCTGACCTCTCTCACTTGTGCCCTACTCACACCTTCCTGCCTGCTGTGCTGGCTGGTGCTGCCCCACCCTGCACGGTGTCCCCTGGCCGCTTGGCCTCACAGCGCAGAGGAATAAACCATCTCTGTATACATACCTGTCGTCCCCTGGTGTGGTTGAACACCCATTGTTGAAGGCCTGGTTGCCCTGTGCACCCTTGGCTCGCCAGGTGGAACCAGCTGCAACCACTTCCTGGCCCAGAGGTCAGGTGGTGGCCAATGGTCAGTGACAGCAGGGAGCCTGAACACGGTGTACATGAGCCTGGGGACCTGACACCAAGGATACCCCCGATTGGGCTCCACACCACCCTCTGCCAGGTTCCTGCATGCAGACATGGACACCGACTGTCCTGGGGCATTCCAGCTCCAGGCACACACATTCCCATGGCATGTGTCTGCCTTGGACCATGCTGTCCCGTGTCGTGTATCTGCCTTGGACCAGTCCATGTGGAACCCGGCACTGGGTGTCCTGGAGAGGAGGTCAGGCGGGCAGGGCCTCCTGGTGCAGCATAGGGATCGGCACCATACACAGAGGGGCAGCTCTGTAGGGCTGATGGCCGGGGGGGTGCCTCCTGATTCCTTGTCCTCTGGTCACTGGCCTGGACAGCAGCCCCACCATCCTGGACACTGCAGGGCCTGAGCCCATCTCAGGGTGCGGCAGGCCATGTGGGGAGACGAGGCAGCCCCCAGGGCCCCTGGCCCCTGCTGGAGCTCCGCACAGCCCACGCTTCTCCGCCCGCAGGGGGATGGTGTTGGCTGGTTTCACAGCCTGTTGCTTGGAGCTTGGCTTTTTTAAATGTGTTTTTTCTTTCTGCCTTGTCAGAATGTTCATGATGCTAGATTGCCATGGAAATGGAGCTTGTTAAAATCTCTGCAAGCAGCCTAATTATAGAATCTCAAAGGCAAGCACAGAGTGCCGAGGTTGTCAGAGCTAAGGCTGCGAGAGAAAGAAGCGGCCCACGCACCCCCCATGACTTGCTCCCCACTCAGGCACCAGGAGGTAGCAGGCCACATCCTTGGCAGCCACGTGGCCCCAGAGCCCAGCCTCGAGATGCACTGGGAGGGAGGGCCTGACCCCCGATGCCCTTTCCACTATGGCTGGTGCCCAGACCCTCTCACCAGGCCACCTTGCCTCTTGACTGTTTTCTTCCTATAGGGAGAAGAGGAGGAGTTGGGGATTGGACCCCAAGCCTTTGTGCTGAGCTGCGTCTCCAGCTCATTTCCTGAATTAATTTTGACGTAGGGTTTTACTTATTTGTTAAGTGGCCAGGGCTGGGAATTCAGCTCAGTGGCCTAAGTGCTTGCCTGGCAGTACAAGGTCATGAGTTTGATATCAGGTACCAAAAACAAGCAAACAAACAAAAAACTTGAGTGGTCCAGGCTGGACTCAGACTTGCAGTTCTCTAGCCTCAGCCTCCTACAGTGCTAGTATTGTCACCGTGCACCGCCACGCAAAGCTTCTGAGTCTGTTCTCCAGCATGTGTGCCTCCACCGAGAGGGACAGGTGACCACACAGACAAGCAGCCTCCCATGGGCCTCCGTGTGGGCCTGGGCCATCCCTGGAGGTGCCCCACACCCCTCCTGCTCAGGCTGTTGCTTTCCAGGCCACACCCAGGCCCTGCAGGCATGGCGGCCTGCACAGGATGGGGCCAGGAAGGACCCTCAGCCCAGGGCGACACTTGGGGCCTGCTTGTCCCAGTGTCCTGAGCCCCAGGCCCAGAGGACCCCAAGGCACTCAGTGATGCTTCCAGCAAATCATGTGGTTTGCAGGTTTGCAGCCCTGGTAGACAGCCAGGTTTTCTCAGATGGATGGAGTTGTTTTGTTTTTTGTTTTGGGTTTTTGACACAGGGTGTTGACACATAGCCCAGAGTGGCCTTGAATTTGCATCAGTTTTCCTGCCTTGGCCTCCGGAGTGCTGGGATTACAGACACGGGCGTACCTACGTCATGGAGATCTAAGTACTGGTCCAATTCAGAAGCAAGGAGGGGACGTCCCTGCTTGATCCTGGGGGAATTAGGCTGAACCAGGCAGACACCTGAAAATCCCCTGGGGCCCATGGAGTCCTTGAGGACAGCTCTGTTTGGGGGCTGCCCAGCCCAGGGGAGCCAGGAGATGTGAGGTTGGAAGGTGGCGTGGAGGTCATGAGGTGAGAGGCCCCCCCCCCCCCCCGCCGTGCCTGCTGTCGCTGCAGACCCGGGTTGGTCCCAGGCGAGCACCACAAGCTGTGCAGACACAGGAGGCATCAGTGAGGCCAGAGCCCTGCAGACCCTGAACTCAGTGGTGTCCAGGAGGAGACGCAGGGCACTGCTGTCACTGTGACGCCTCGCATGGTAGGGACACCAGGGCACCCGCTGCCAGGGGCTCCACCACATCTTCCCCATAGTCCAACCTGGGGCAGGGAGGTGGGAAGCCCCACGTGCCAGAGCTTGCCAGGGTGCCTGAGAGAGCTTTGCCTTGCAAAAGTGGCCAGTTGGGTGGCAGTGGAGCCTCGGAGTCCATCCTGTGAGGATGAACTAATTAGATGGGGTGATTAGATGGGGCTCCCTGTCCCCAGAGGCCCAGCTTTCCTGTTTGTCTCACTCTCACTGAAACATCTGGCAGAACCTCTGAGCTCAGAGATTTGGTCCACTTTCCCATTACTTCTTCCTTGTGGTGTACAGGCGTGCTCAGCATCCTGAGTTGCTGAACCTTTGTGCCATGCAGGCCCGGTCACTTTGAGCAGGCCACAGTGAGTCTCCACTCCAGGGTGCCCCCGGCCCCATGTGCTCGAATGCGGTCACCTTGGACTTGGGATCCCTGCTTTTGCTTGCCAGGGCTTCCTGTCCACCTTACGATCCTTTCCTAGGAGTGGGGAAGCAGCTTCTTTCTGAGATGATTTTCTAAAAGAAGATGATGTTGGCACCTTTCTGCTCCCTTAAATCCTTACTTCCAGGGAGGCCCAGGCTGTGCAGTGTCAGGCGTGCTGTCATCCAGGCTGCTTGGTGAGGTCCACAGCCTGGGCGTCTGGAACATCAGGAGCTGGGAGCCTGGAGGCAGAGAGGAGGGAGCCATGCACAGGCGCTGGGGACAACGTCTTCTACTCGTCCCTGAAGCAAGGACTGTGCTGCTCAGCACCCCTGCCCCCAAGCCCTTGCCTGCCCTCAGCCTCATATTCTCCCCCTTGGGCCAGCTCCAGAAGCAGGCTACTCGCAGGCTGGGCTCCCTGTAAGATCCGGGAGCCCTACCTGTGGCCCTCCGGGCTCCCTGCCAGGCCGTGGCCTCCAAACCTCCTTAGCTCTGGAGACTTGAACTTGGCACGTTGAGCAGTGCAGCAGTGGTGTGGGTTCTGTCTGTCTTAGCCCTCAGTGTCACACCTTTGTCCCAGTGTCCCAGTCACTCCACACGCTGTCCTTTGGGATGAAGGGACACAGACACCATGGAGAGGATGTGCGGCAGAGGCCTCCTCTGGCCCAGGCATCCCTAAGCTGTCCTTGTGGGGCCACAGAGCTACGGGCAGGTGGGCCGGGCACTGCTACCTCTGGCCTGGGCTTTTCCCTCACCTGGGCAAAACCTTCAGCCATTACCAGGCGACACTCAGCCGCTGCTAATCTCTGGCTACGGTTTGGGGACCTTGGAATCCATGTGTAGTGCCCCCAGGCTGGGCAGCTGAGCAGCCTGGCTATGGGCCTGTGTCCCCCACTCCCAGAGGAACCCAACTTCTTGGCTCTCATTGAACCTCCTGCTTTGAGGGAGAGAAGTAGTTTTTACAGCCCCTATGACTGATTTCGCCCGTTTCTAGCCAGAGCTGCTCATTTGCTTGTTTTAAAAACATTGCGTTACAATTTCCACTTTAGTGCATCCATGGCACTTTCACTGGCCTCATGAAAGTTGCTTTTGCTAGAGAATTTTATAAAAGCACAAAGCTCCCCATTGTGCGTTGTGTTTCTGAAGGTTTTGTTTCCGGGTCCAAACGTCTCAGAGTGCTTGGTCAGCAGCGCGGGAAGCAGAGGCAAGTGGGTCTGCTCTGCTTTTCCTCCGGCACTTTAGTAAGCCGTGTTCTCCCCGCCAGGGTGAGCTGTTGATTGTATGCCATGGGATGGTGTCGTCGGTCCTGGCTTCGCCTCTGCCGGGATTGGCTGGGGCCAGATGCCGGGACCAGCGCCGTAGGCTGGCACCGTGGCGCCCACTGGCTCCTGGCAAAGAGCTCTGTCAATACCAGCTGCTTTGAACTGTTCCCCTCTGCGGGGAAAAGAGCCCGGTGTTCATGGGGCTGCCCAGAGAGCAGGAGGATGGGCAGGCAAACCTGCCAGTCCCAGCGGGTCAGCGGCACGGCATTGGAGCTGGGCGGGCGGCCATCCTCAGGGGGCCCCGCCTGCCCCGCCTGCCCCACAGCCATGTCCTGTCACCCCGCCTCTGTCCAGCCGGTCTCTGAGCCCAGTGCTCCTCACCTGGGCGGCCAGTAGCATGACAGGCACGTGAGGAGGGACCGCTGGCCGGCACGAGTGCAGCTTGGGTGCAGGCACCCTGCTGTGGCTTTACACATCTCTCGTGTCCTCCGTAGAATCCATCTACCGCCGCGGGGCCAGAAGATGGAGGAAGCTATACCGCGCCAACGGCCACCTCTTCCAAGCCAAGCGCTTTAACAGGGTGAGTGGCCTCGGCCAGCGTCCCCCGCAGCCCTCTGTGTCACCGAGTGAGGAGAGCAGGAAGGGGGCATCATCGACTCCTCTGAGCGTGGACAGGCGTCCAGTGGGTGTTGTATCCCCCTCCTCTATCCCCTCTCACTGTCACACGCACACATGCATGTGCCGGGTCCCAGAGCGACCTGAGCCCGAGTGGCTCCCGGAGCCGTGGCCATCTGTATCCTCCATGTCCCTCGGTCTTCCCTGGTTATGTGGCCCTGGACTAGCTCCTGGGATGTGGAGACTCTGGCCTGCTCGTGTCCAGAAGTGGGCCCCACAATACTGTCCTTCCCGTGGCCACTGTGTGGCTTTCTACCCTCCTTCCTGGGACACCTGTGTAGTGGTCCTTGTTTCTCTTCCCTCGAGAGACTCACCTCTAGCACAAAGGTAACCCCACAGCCTTCTGGCAAAGAAGTGCCTGAGCGGGGAGTGGTGTTGCCTCTGCACCCTGCACAGAGCCCTAGGGACCCTAGCTCCACCACGCATGGGTCTCCTTGCCCACAGCAGGGACCACCAGTGGTGTGGACTTGAGGCCTGTGGACAGGCTGTGTGCAGTGTCACTGCCCTCGCTCTCGCACTCCCTCCAGGCCACCTGGGTGATGCTGTCCTAGAGCCTCAACAGGCAGGCCTATGAGTATGAGCTGCTCCTGTCTGTCACCAGTTGAGAACCTGTGGTGCCACCCTCATCCCAGCCTAGGTGCTAGGGGTGGGTCAGAGGTCAAGCCCCTGGGCAGCTGAGGACCCTAGGGGACACTAAGCTGTGGGAGGGCCATGGGCCAGCACACAGGAAGACGGGCCAGGTATTGCACAGCAGCCCCGTGGCTTCCTGGAGGAGGAGGCATGGACAGCACAGGGTCCAGCTTGTGTAGGGCACCAAGGCCAAGCCTGGGCACACACAGTGGCTCTTTTCCTTCTTACCCGTGATGCCTCTGCTGCTCTGTGACCAACGCTGTGTCATGGGCTCTGTCTTGTCAAGGCCAGGTCCCATCCTGGCCATGGAGGACCACACACTGACCCTGCTTCTCGCTGAGATTGGAAGCAAGTCCTGGGTGCAGGCGCTCTGGGACCAGGGAGGACATCACCAGGAGGGAGGGGTCTGCCCCAGGATGGACAGTCAGAGTCCCCTCCTGTGGTGGCCAGAAGCCCCTGCCAGCCCCTGTCCCTGGTCTGTCCAAGGCCCAAAGCCTCGCTCCGGCAGAAGACATTCACAGAGAGTCTGGACAGCCCATCGAGGGCTTCACCAGTGCGCTTTGGGCTAAGGAGCTAAACCTGCTAGGCAAGCACTTCCTACGAGGGTCGGTGTTAGATCTGGTGAGGTGGCTCTGCTGCAGCTACGCAGGGCTGCCCTTGTGGCTGCCAGTGGACAGGGCTGTGCCAGGGAAGCAGCAGCTATGCAGGGTGGGCTGAGCGGGGGCTGCCTACCCTGACCCGGGAGCCTAGCGTCACCCTCTGCTGAGATGATTGAGGCCACAGAGCACAGGAGTGGGATCCCTCCCACCCACAGTGCCCTTAAAGTCATTGCTTTGTGGACGGATGGGAGAAGGGGTGCCTGCTCCCCTCACCAAACAAAACAAAGGAGACTGTTCCTCCTGGGAGTTTGGATGCCCGCACTGGGCCTCTCACGGGCAGACGGCCCAACTCTGTATCTGCAGCATGGGCTCGGCCTGGCAGCTCCCTGGGTGGCTGACAGGCTCCAGCCAGTTCCACTCTGAAACCAGCTTGAAGACTGGGTAGATGCATGGGGACCCCAAGCTCCCAGCAGAACTTCGAGGCCTGTGAGAACCAGGGGGCGAGAGCCCGGACAGAGGCACAGACAGGCTATGGATTTAAGCAACAGCCAATGTGTTTAAAAACTAAAACAGATCATTGATGATACGAGCAGGGAGCAAACAGGGAGCATGTGAGACAGACTTTAAAGTATTTTTACCCCACAAATCTATTAATTGACATGAATTCCTAAGAATAGAAATAAGGCCTTAGGTTTTATTTTTTAACATACATCTTCCAGGATGTTAGTGACTCTGCATCACTCAGATGTGCAGAGCCGTGCACCGGGCTCTGAGTCTCCCTGACCAACTTGGTGGAGGCCTCTGTGTGATGTATGCCCCAGCCAGCGCGGTCTGGGAAGAAGGGAGTCCTCGTTGGTCCGTAAGATGGCAGTGCACATGACCCAAGAGTGACAGGCTACGGCGCTGGGTGGTAGTGCAGAGGAGCTGACCTCGGCCAGGATGTGAGATCACAAACACGGCCTTTCAATAAACAGTTGTGTGGACAGTGACTGGCATTCTTCAGGGCTGTAGATGCAAAAGATGGAAGCCCATCGCCCACTTGGAGGGCCACCCTGGGACGCAGGAGGCTGGACTCAGGAGGCTGGGAGAGTCCAGGCTAGAGCTCAGCTGGCTGAGCTCAGGTCAGTGGGCCTGGGGAGCCTTGCACCCCAACACTGCCTTTTTCTGGCTGCTGAGATGCAGCTGCAGATCTGCCTTGATTCCCTTGTGGGAATTTGGACAACACATGAAGACTTGGAATAAATTACTTTTCCTCCTTGGTACCACGTTAACAGCAGCAGCGTGTGCACACAAGTGCGCGAGCATTCCCAGCACCCCTCATGCTGGGCACTGTCCTCAGCGCTTGGCCCGTGGCCTGCTCGTCCCTCGTGGGAACGGGTGCCTCAGTGCAGGGCAGCTGCATGCTAGGCGCATGTGCAAGGCCACGTCCTGCTGGGAGTTCTTTCAGACTTCTGGGCGCTCTGTGTTCCTGGCCTGGGGGGACCTGAGGCCCCACAAGAGATAGCCATGGTGGGGCTGTAAGGAGGTCAGGGACACATAAGGATGATGCCCAGGAACATCCCAGATGGGCCCTGTCCCTGCCAAGGACACGGGTGCCGTGTAACCGCTGAGTGATTCTGTGCGCACAGCCGGAGACACTCATCCTCCTGCGTTCTGTAAAATATAAAAGTCCATGAAAATGTCACTGGTCAGGCAGACCAAAGATGGGTCACTGAAAATCCAGAAAGCTGAGGGAAGGGGTAGCAGGGTGTGGGCTGGCTGCCTGCTGCGGTCCACAGTTCCCTAGGCAGAACACAGTGGTTGCCCCACGGCTGCCTCTGCAGCAGGCGGCAGGGTGGGGGGACTCCGCGGCCCCTGGGGTCCTCGCCCCCTGACGGTGGCCTCTGCCTGCCTCCCCCCCACCAGCGGGCGTACTGCGGCCAGTGCAGTGAAAGGATATGGGGCCTCGCGCGGCAAGGCTACAGGTGCATCAACTGCAAGCTGCTGGTCCATAAACGCTGCCACGTGCTCGTCCCGCTGACCTGCAGAAGGCATATGGTGAGTGCTGCTCGCAGGCCCTGCCTGGGGTGCTGCAGTGCTGCAGCGGTGACCAGGCGGGGTCTGGGCTAGGACCCCTCGAACTGGTGTCCTGGGAGGCCTCGAGCGCCCTCTGAGGGCTGCAGCCACCGTTCTGGGCATTTGCACTTGAGGGCCCCAGCACCGTGATGACAGCTTTCCTAGCATTCATGCTTCCTGCTGCCCTCCCATGGCTCACTGGACCATGGAGGCCACCTGGACAAATGGGAAATCCTCCTGGGCCAGGCTACACCCGGGAGCCACATCCAGGGACGGTGTCCTGGCACTTGTTCACTCCTGTACCAGACAAAGGCAGCATCAGTCGCAGCCTCAGCCCAGCCTTGCTGGGGTGCAGGGGCAAAGATGCTCACACAGACTGCTGGTGAACCAGTCCCATCTGTGTTGCTGGGGGTCCTCTGCTCTGTCTCCTGGGGACCAGGAAGGTACATTTTCCTTTGACCACACAGGTCCACTTTAGCCTAAGAAAATGAGTCCAGCCCCAGGGATGAAAGGCCCCTGCTTGACACTGCAGTCTCCACCACGTGTCAGCCACATGGAGCTGGAGCCTGCCTAGGCTGAGGCTCAGACACATAGGGGTGGGGGTGCAGTGCCATGCTTGGAGCTGTGGCCAGTGCGTGTGTCCTGTATGTCCAGTTTGACACTTGCCAGTGTGCTCCGTACAGTGCGCTGCTGTGTGCGCCTTGTCATACATGGCTGCCAGAGCCACTTGCGTCTGTGGAAGCTGCAGTGTGGCACTGGTGACACTGTGGTCTTGCTGCAGGATTCTGTCATGCCTTCCCAAGAGCCTCCAGTAGATGAGAAGAGTGACGGCGTGGACCTTCCCTCCGAGGACACTGACGGAAGTAGGCACACTCTCCCGGGCCCCCAGCCCCCTGCTGCCCCTTTCCTAATTGCCTGCCGAGGGGTCTGCAGGAACAGGGCCATGCAGGATGTCACCTCTGTCCCCAGTGGGATGGGTGGGGCAGGTAGCCTTCCCTGGTGGGTGCTGGGCTGTGATGTCTCCATAGAGGACCGCCATGGGAACCTGAGCGTGAGGGTCTCTCCCTCCACAAATGTGGGTCATCCAGAAAGGCTTAACTGCAGCGCCGTGGCTGGTGTCTCCTCACCTGTATGCTGCGTGGAGCGGCTCTCATGGATAGGCTAGGGGCCTGCCACTCACAGACAGGGCAGTACAGGCCCTTAGGTTTCAGGAGGCTGGGGAAGGGGCTTTTTTAATGCTGAGGAGCATTCGGAGAGAGATTTCAAGTGAAATCTGGCTGAAGGCTCAGGTCTAAGCTTCCACATGGTGGGCTTTCACACAGGCATGAATGCCTTAGGTCTCATTTGGATAGCAAGCAGTCTGTCTCCTTAGGGGACTTCGAAAGATGAGACAAGTTCACAGAACCTGAATCACTTAGTATAGCACCCACAAGAAAGATTCCTAATAAACAGCAGCCCACCCCCACAGACCGTCAGCTACCCACCCACCCGTGCAGTCATCACTCACACATTCATTCATCTGCCCATCACCTATCATTCATCCATCCATTCACGTATCATCCATTTGCCCATCCATCCACCCATGAAGTCATCATCTGCCCATCTGTCTTCTAGTCCAGTCATCATCCACCCATCCACTCATCAGTCATCCATCCATCCACCTATCTACCCCTCCATTCATCAGTCATCCATCCATCCACCTATCTACTCATCTGTCCATCCATCCATCCATCCATCCATCCACCTATCTGCTCATCTACTCATCAGCCAGGCAGCCAGCCATGTACCTATATACCCATCCATTCGCCATCCATTCATCCACCTATCTACCCATCCATTCCTCATCCATCTATCCAACATCTACTCATCCCTGAGACAAACCTGAACTCCTGCACCCTGCCCACCCATTGGCACATTTTTTTTTCTTTTTTCACTTTACTGGCATTGAACACAGGGCCTTCACCCTGAACTATAGCCAAAGTCCTTTTTTATTTTTTATTTTTGAGGCAGGGTCTCACTTGTCCCTAAGTTGCCCAGGCTGGGCTCAAGCTTTCCATCTTCCCTCCTCAGCCTCCCAGAGTGCTGAAGTTACTGAACTCTGCCTCTGCACCCAGCTTGCAGTCTTTGGAGATGCCAAAGTCTTCTATCTGTAGACGGTCATAGACCTCAGATGATTCTACTTGTGATTTTCAAATTTATGGCAGCGTGAGCATAGGCACACACATGCAAATACTGTGTGTACAATCATTCTGGTCTTCCGTTCAGTGCAGTGTTTAGCAGGTTCCCTGGGATACTCTCCCTTTATCACAAATGGTTCATGTTGGACCATCTCACACAGCTGTGGGCTAAAGGAGCCACTCCAAGCGCTCATCACGATGTCTGGGAGCCTGGGCCTGTGACGGGTGCAGGACGCGACCTCATCCCGTGTCACACACTCTGGTTACCCTGGGCGAGTCTCCAGGACATCGGTTGCTGCAGTCAGAGTCAGGCTGGCTGCTGAGCCCACAAGCTGCATCTTCATGGCTCTCAGCCAGGGCCCATGTGGGTGGGCTGGGACTCGTGTCCTTGAGCTGTGCTCCCTGTCACCGTAACACCCTGTCCTTTCTCTCTCTCGGATAGTTGCTTATATCTCCTCAACCCGGAAGCACGACGGCATTAAAGATGATTCTGAGGTGAGCGTTGGAGGCCCAGCCTGCGTTTCAGAGCCCATGTCGGGAATGACGGCGCTATCAGCTCCATGCGTCCCCTGCTCTGTGGGCTTAGGAGATGTCTGGCCCTCTTCCTGGCTCCCTGCTCAGAGCATGCCAGTGCTACTCCTGGGCCGCAGTTCTCTTCACGAGCCACCTGTGCCATGCCCTCCCCACACAGCCTCCTGGCTGGAGTGGCTCTCTCCTGTCATGTGTCTTCGGTGATAGTGACTCTGGCCAGCCAGGCACTCTAACTGCCAGGAGAGGCCCTGTCCAGGTGGCTCCAGGTCCCACCCAACCGCGCAGAGTACAGACCGAGACCATGGCCCCATCCTCACCTGGCCTGGCAGGCTGGGCCCAGAGTCTCCGTCCCTCACAGAACTGTTACAGCACCCATGTGGCCTGTGTCACCTGCCCACAGCCTCCAGGCTGAGTTAGTGGTCACTTGGGGTGAGTGTCAGGGCCACAGGCTTCGGCAGCTCAGGTTCGTGGCTTATCCCCACCAGCATCTGTTCCCTGCTGTCTCCCCTCCAGGACCTTAAGCCAGTTATCGACGGGGTCGACGGGATCAAGATCTCTCAGGGGCTGGGGCTGCAGGACTTCGACCTCATCAGAGTCATCGGGCGTGGGAGCTACGCCAAGGTCCTCCTGGTGCGTCTGAAGAAGAATGACCAGATCTATGCCATGAAGGTGGTGAAGAAGGAGCTGGTGCACGACGACGAGGTGGGGGTTGTGCGGGGGCAGACACGTGGGGACACGGGTGACACACACGTGCAGAGATGGTGCACAGGGAAGCTGTTCCTAGGCCGTCACAATGCAGTGGGGTTCCCAGCACCTGTCCCAGCTCTGGTGATCAGAGCTCTGGCATGGTGATGTCACGAGAGGCCTGCCGAGCAGGATGGTGGCCGTCTCTCCCAGTGCCATGGGGCATGCCACTTGCAGGGTCTTGGAGGAGCTCAGTGTAGGAGTAGCTGTTTATTTGTTGGAGTCTTAGTTCCACCCCCACATACTGTTTTTCTCTTGGTCGCTGCAAACTTTGCCACACAGAATTTGCCATATGAGGCAGTGGCCGAAGCCTGTAATCCCAGCTACTTGGAAGGCCGAGCAGGAGGTAACTAAAGACCTTGTCTCAAAATAAACATCAATTAAGAGGTCTGTGGGTATAACTCAGTGCTCCCTGGGTTTGCCCTGGTACCATACACATGAAATATCTTGATTGCGTATCCTGCAGTATCCTGGAATGCCAGGTCCTAAAGCTGTCCCCATGCCTGGCTCCAGCACATTGTCTTCACCTGTGGTCACCTGTACCCACTGGGCAGTCACTCTTGTCCCCTCCACCCCAGCCCATGGCGACTACCATCCTGCTGTCTGGCCCTGGCCACAGCCCTGTAGTGCACATTGTGCAGGCATAGACTCCCCAGCCAGGGCCCCCAGTACGATGGTGTGTGGCTCAGTCTGCCCGTGGCAAGTGTCATGCAGGCTCCTATGGCCAATCCCCTGGGAAGCGGGTGCAGCTCTGCCTGCTGTGCAGTTGCCCTGGGGTCTGGCATCATCTTCAGGGGCAGGGACAGCGGTGTGGAGGTCATGGCCTTGGGTCTTGAGTGCCTGTCAGGGAGAACATGCTGGTGTGCTGGCAGCTCTGGCCCACGTCTGTAGGCCGTCTCCTGAGCTTCCACTAGGTTCTCTCAGCCCACATGCAGCTGGCGTTGCTTGCCCCGGACCCGGACTGCACCTCCATCCTCCTCCTCCCTCTGGCCACACTCCCCATGCTCCTTGTGTGGCTGCTCCTTTCCTCCCCAGCCCTGCTTGGCTCTCAGCTTGTCCACCGTCCTGGCTGGGGTGTATGGTGCTCACTGTGAGCTGGCTCCAATCCACCTGGTGACCAGCAGCACACACACTGTCATGGGCACCCGCCCCGTCTTGGGCAGAGAGGGCTGACAGGTAGAAAGCTTGAGGCCATTGTCATCTTGACACGGGACCTCCAGTGACCTGGTGCTGCCCAAGCTGCAGGAGCAGGGGCTACATTCAAGCCCTTCCTTCCCAGCAGGTACATCTGGGCAGTGTGCAGCCTGCTGAACTGTACCCTTGTCCCTGGGTGCTGAGCTGGCAAGTGGGTGGTGCCTAACATTTATAGCTGAGGAAATAGAGGCTCTAGAGTGGCTCCCCATTGGGTGGCAGTATCACAGGAGGGTCCTGACTCCTTCCCAGCACCCCAGGTTCAGCCCAAGCCTGCTGAGCCGAGGGCCACAGAGATGGATAGTGGATAGGGGAGTCCCTGCAGGGGCAGGCGGGGTTGACAGGGCCCCTGGGAGGGGCAGCGGGCAGACCTGGCTCACTCCACACGATTCCCAGAAACCTCGGGGGAAGGCCCTGTGGACACGGCTCCACCCCTTGCACTCCCTAACTCCTGGGGGTTAGAGTCTATCCAGCTCTCCCCCTGTGCTGGGGTGGGACTCAGCACTCTCTGAGCCCAGAGCATCATGGCATCTTGCTGTAATGGGAGACAGAGGCCACAGCACAACTCCCACGCAGGAACTGTGGGCCTTGGGACCTGCTTAGCCCTGCACCTCGCTCCGCTCACGTCCTAACGGGAGATGGAACCCACTTCCCTGGCCAGGAAGCCAGGGGCCAGCAGCCGGCAGGGTGGCTTTAGTGACGGTGGTGGGGATGGTGGTGAGGAAGGTGCCGGTGAGGGAAACAGGAAGGACTGGTGGTAGTTGCTGTGGCAGCAAAGTTTGATGGCATGGAGATGACGACGATGGGGTGGACCGTGGTGTCCTTTCCTGAGGGGTGTCTCCTTTTCCTGTCTGCACCGCCTGCCCTTCTTGTCCCTTCCTGTCCACCTGCTCCAGGAAGCTGGGTGCTCTGAGTCTCATCTGCCCGGTCTCTTGCAGGACATTGACTGGGTGCAGACGGAGAAGCACGTGTTCGAGCAGGCGTCCAGCAACCCTTTCCTGGTCGGCTTACACTCCTGCTTCCAGACAACGAGCCGGTAAGGGACAGCAGGGGACCAAGCGCCTCCCGGGGCAGGCACGGGGACTATCGGGCACCAGATGTGCATGCGGCTCCAGGTGGTGGCTGTCATGCCAAGTAAATGTCACCCATTGGAACTTAAAGGACTTGATCACACGATTAACTGCATTAATTACTAAACTGTGTAAACTGTGAGCTGTTTGTGGAAAGCAGTCAGCCGGGTGCAGGGTTGCATGGGTGCAGGGTGGTACGCGGGCTAGGAAACAGTAGGGGCTTCCCTGAGAGCTCCCTGGATGCCAGCACTCTGCTGTGAGGGTGCTGGCGACCTGGTGGTCTAGAATTGTAAATGTCTGCTCCCTTTAGAACTTGGGGGCCAGCTAGCCGGTGCAACACTGTGCAGCACTGCCGGCTGTGCTCTCCATGGAGGCCACTGGGCCTCAGCGCACTGGGAAGCTCAGCTGACCCAGCACAGTGCGCCGTCTGCTTGAGGCTGCGCCTCCCAAACCACAGCCAGCACAGCTGGCAAAAGGAGAAGGCGAATGGGGCGCAGACTTTTGGGCTTTCCCTAGTCCTCCAGCTCGGGGTGCTTAGTGGTGGGCCTCCCAGCTGCTCTGCCCAGCACGCATCAGTACCCTGGCATTGGTGGTGGTGGGGTCCCCCTGTGCAGTGAGCACTGTTACCAGGATGGTGCTGGGGACCAAGGGATAGAGGTGTCCTGCCACCCATGAGCTGGAGACCAGAGCCGCAGGGCTGTGAGCTGGGCCTGCAGCAGGGCGGGGCAGCCCTCCTCTACCTTCTGATGCTTGGCTGGATAAGTGCACAGCACCCGTCTACACTAGGGAGGGCTTTGCTCTGCTTGGGCTTGTGTGTTCAAATGCTGCTGTTCTCCAGAAACATCCTCACAGCTACCTGAAAACACTGTTTGCCAACTTCCCGGCACCCCACAGTACCAGGAACATGAACCACAGGGTTTACTGACCACTAGGGAAAAATGAATCATACTTATTACACACATACACACAGTCACAAGCATGTAAGGAACCATGCGGCTTACGGGCCCAGACACTGTTGAGACTGGCTGGGCCTTTGGGCCTCTCTGAGCAGGGGCCCCAGGCCCTTGTGTCCATTCCCATGCAGCCCTGGCCTCGGCCTTGCCCCTGGCCACTGCCCTCGGATCAGTGCGAGAACCACCTTCGCGCTCTGACCCCACACACCACCAGCCTCCACCGACTGCTCCACCTCTTTCCGTTTCCGATTCTGTTTCCTGCCAGGACGCCCAGCCCGGAGCTCCCACACTGTGCAGGACGTGGACTTGGGCTGGGGTTACCCTGCTGCATCCACTCTCAGCTGCTGCCACTGTGCCCAGGCCTTGTCTACTGCCCCTCTCTGACGGAATCTTCCCCCACCCCTTCCTTCCTGGAGCTGCCACCGTGCTGGCACCACATAGTGCCAGGCCAGTGCTGCCTGCTCCACTTCCTCCAGCTGCCTGGACCAAACTCCCAGCCCAAGAGGGGCTCAGTGGCGATGGCTCCCAGAGCGGGGCTTGCCCGGGAGTGTCCACGTGTGCAGGGTCCTCTCGCCGCCTCTTCCATGTTGTTTTTAATGGAATCTGTCACTGGCTCTGGTGGCACTGGGCCCCAGCGGGCCAAGTTTTGTGGCTTTCCCACTGTTGGTGTGTGTCTGTGTGCGCACAACCCCAGATATGTGCCCTTCAGATGAGGCATCTGGTCACTCCCTCGTCTCAAAGCCACAGTGGTGTTGATGAAGAAATGTGAAAGGTAGGGCCAGGCAGGGTGGCGCGTGCCTGGAAGCCCAGCTCTTGAGAGGCTGAGGCAGGAGTGCTGTGAGTTTGCAACCAGCCTGGGCTACAAAGTGTGTTCAAGGCCAGTCTGTACTACATAGTGAGACCCTGTCTTAAAAAAAAGAAATATGAAAGGTAAAATCACGTTTCTGGTACAAGTATGGAAAGAACACGTGTGGACTTCATGTGACTCATGACCAGATGGAGGTGGGAGAGGCTTGCAGCTGCCAGAGGAGTCTGAGTCCTGCTCAGATACTGGCCACCAGGACCCTGGACACACTGACCAAAGCTGGCTCACGGACAGGGGATATACATTTTGCCATGATAGGCGTCCATGTCGCCTCCCACATGGGGCCTCAGAAACCTCAGACCCTTCCCAGAGACTGCTGGCACTGTATCCAGTTCTGCCTGGCTGTGGTGAGATTGGGCTGGGAGCCTGCATGTAACCCGCTTCAGTGTTCTCCAACAGCAGCCCCATGGGGGCAGCCTGGCCGACCAGGTGTGAGCCCACCACATAGGCACCTTCCCGGAGTCAGGCCACGTCTCTGAATAAACCAGCCACAGCCGGATGCTGCAGAACCCCGGGAAACCTCTGGCCCCCGCCCCGTGTGGGCAGAGGAGCAGAGCCGGTAGATGCCTGTGCAGACGGCGCCAGCGGCTCAGGCTGAGTGAGGCCAGTCCTGACCACCCAAGGCTTTATGTGCCCTCCTTTCATGCCTCAGTTTCCCCTCAGTGCCACCCTGGAGCTCCACAAAGCCACTACCCTGTGGTTGGTACCCACGTGTCCTGACTCCTGGCCGGATGGCACTGCAGAGCTGCGCTGGCTGGCAGCATGAATGGAAATCTGCTAAAGGAAACAGCACTTTCCACAGGAGCTCAGTGACCATAAAGGGGCCTTTGAGTGAGGAAAAATAGGGATTTGTTTCTTTCCTCCCAAATGCCAAGGTGCCCGCTCTCCTTCACTGCACCCTGCGCTCCTGGGGCTGCAGATTCCTGACCACGCCCTGCCCAGCTCACACGTGTACAGGTCCAGAGGCAAGTACGGGGCTGGGGTGGAACCAGGGCCTTCATGGTGAGCTGTTCGCCATTCCTCTTTTACGTTTATTCTGAAACAGGGTCTAAATGACCCAGCTGCCCAGGCTGGGTTTGAATTTGCCGTCCTCCCGCCTCAGCTTCCCAGAGTGCTGGGACAACAGGAGTATGGCCTCCGCCTCATGAGTCTTCACCCCAGTTTGAGCATGTGCAGAAGGGCTGGGCCGGGCAGGGGCAGGCAGGCAGCAGGTACCTCATGATTCCCATCTGAGGGTTCCTGTGCCCCGTGCACTTCATTGGCTGAGGCCGGGGGCTGTGTCCTCCTCGTTAGCACCCTGAGGCTCCTCAGTGGTCCCTGTCTCTCAGGTTCCTCCGCAGGTGGCCAGGCCAGGACTGGACCGCTCTTCCATGAGGTCCGCTGTGGCAAGTGTTATATACACTGTAGTTAAGGCCACTCACTGGGCGGAACACAGAGTCGTTGTTGCCACTTTCTGAAGCAGTTTTGGAGTCTTGTTTTTTTGCAAGGATGGGGGAGGTGGAGTTGTTCATTTGTTTTGCCTTTTTGGTTGGTGTTTTGTTTTGTTTTTTTGGTACTGGGGATCAAACTCACAACTTTGCTCTTGCCGAGCAGGCACTTGTGCTGCTGAGCTAAACCCAGGCCCTTGTTTTATTTTGGTTTTGAGCAGGGTCTCCCTGCAGGCCAGGCCAGTCTTGAGCTCACAGCAATCCTTCTGCCTCAGCCTCTCAGACTGGTCTCAAAGTCCCCTTCTTGTTTTTAGTCGAACTGTTCTGGCTGCCTGGGTGTCCTGAATGGGTTCAGATCATTGCCTGTTCATGGTCATTTTGACTGTGGGGACGAGGCAGAAGTCGCACGGTGCCCAGTCCTGGGACTGAGGTGGAGGAGGACACAGTGCCGTGTGTTTCTGAGCTGTTTTTCCATTGGGCGCTGCTGGGCAGCAGGGTCACCGTATTTTGAGCCTGAAGTTTTTCATCAGTTATGTGCGAACCATCCTTGTTTGTTGTTGTTTTGGACCAGAAATCAAACACAGGACCATACACTTGCCAGGCAGCGCTTCAGCCCCTGAGCTCTATCCCCAGCCCTGTCACCATATTTTTCACTGCACCTTGTAAGTCTGCTCAGGAAAGAGGACTCCAGAGCTGCCTCAAAATGTGGCCAGGACAGTGGGCTGAGTGTGCGCCAGCTGAGGGGCTTCACAGCTGCATGTATTACAGTGACGGAGTTTTCTTAACAATCACCGTATATTTTGATCACCTCTTATAATTCTCAGTCCTTGTGGAAATAGCCCGCTGCTTTGAAGACTCTGGAAGTTTCATTTCTATAAAACATTTGGACAGGTCTTCCAGTCCCAGTGATCCTCTAGTCAGCAACCAACACAGGGGTCACCTCACCTAGGCAAGGATGGGCACGTGTTGCCTGAGGAGCCAGGCACTTCTGGCATGTGGGGTGTGGGCTCTGGGTCGCGGTGCCCAAACCGTGGTCGCCACCGTGCTGTAGAGCCTCTCTCAGGCCAAAGAGAAGCTCTCACCACTTCGTGCCTCTGCGCAATTCCTGTGAGGATCCAGCCTCAAGGTCAGCAGTGCCCGTGTCCATGCACACTGCCGTCGTCTGTGTTGGGGATTCCAGTCCTGGGAGACAGCTGTGAGCACATGGGGGCGAGTGCAGTCACTTGTGTGGGTGTTTAAGTCTCCAGCGCCTAGTTGTGTAGGCTCCGTCTGCTGTCCGCACCCCTGAACCTGGGTGGGCCCAAGGAGCCACCAGGTATGGAAGGTGACATTTGTGCCAACGGAGAGCCCATTGCAGACCTGAGCCCCATCCATAGCAGAGCTGGCATCTGTGTGGCAGCTTCAGCTCTGCCCCCTCCCCAGGTTGTTCCTGGTCATCGAGTACGTCAACGGTGGGGACCTCATGTTCCACATGCAGAGGCAGAGGAAGCTTCCGGAGGAGCACGCCAGGTGGGGCCCAGCAGGGCTGCCTGGGGCGCCAGTGGGCAGGGGTGGGGGCACCTAGGGCCTCGGGGTGCTGCTTCCTGTGGGGTGCTGGCCATGAGGGGCCTGGAGTCCTGTGTCTCAGTGACAGGCCTTTGGGCCCCACACAGACGCCCTGACCCTGGTGGGACATGGTTCTACTGGCCCTTGGTACTGTGGCGCCAGCAGGTTTTGTCCATTTCCGGGGGGGGGGGGCTCCTCAGTGACCTGGGGACACCTGGCCCTCGCCTGGCTGGCATCTGCTTGGCCCTCCTCGGGCCAGCGGGGCTGGGCCAGGTTCTGGCCCCACACTTCCTGTCCTCCACTCCTCCTTTCATCGTGCGCAGCTGTGAGTCACCTCAGACCCTTTTCAGAGAGAGGTAGGCAGAAGCCAAGGAAGGCGCTCGCCCACTCGCTGCCTTTTTTAAACACCATGAGATACGCGGGAGGCAAATGCGCTGTTCCAGCCAGTTCTGAGCCAGAGCTCAGAGGCATCAAGTGGTTCACCCCGCCGACAGCCTTGGCACCACCTGTCCACAACAGTTCTCCTCTCCCGCAGGGAGACCTACTGGGCTCAAGTGCATGCCTGGAATCCCAAGTGCTCAGGAGCCTGAGGCAGGAGGGTCACAAATTCAGCCCTACCCTGGGTAAACTTAGTGAGACCCTGTCTCAAAAAATGAAGAGGCAGAGTGTAGCTCAGTGGTAGAGCATCCCTGGGTCCAGTCCCTACTATCACCTCTGCCCTCTCCACGTAAGTCAAACCAAACTGAAGCCAGTCCTGTGGTGCACACGTGTAATCCCTAGCACTTGGAGGCCGAGGCAGGGGAATTACATAACCAGACCTTGTCTCAGAGGAGTAATAATTAAAACCAAAGTGAGCCTCCCCCAGTACACCGTGCCTGCCTCCCTGTCTAGAACCTGACGCCCCTCAAGGCCCTCCTGTAGGGTTTCCTTTCCCACGCGGGGTCTGCGCGGCTCCTCCGTGCCACAGCATGTGTGAGCATCACCTTCCCCGAGAGCCTGAGCAGCGAGATCACCCGCATGTCAGTCCACGGACATGGTCACATCCAGGTTCCCCTTGGGACTGGCCACCAACCAAGGTCCGGATGGCTCGCTCCGGGCGCATGCGCACAGTGGGGTCTCCAGTCCAGTCCCACGTGGTCGTCATTGCAGTCCCGGGAGCTCCCCCTACCAGTGCCCGCACTTCCTCCACGCCCCCACCCAGGGCAAGCACAGCCTTATACTGTGGGGCAGTGACTCCCAGCCTCTTCATGGCGGGTCCGAGCTCCCCGAGGACAGCCTGTGCTGAGCCGGTTACCCCAGAAGGCCGGTGGTGCGCTATGGCCGGGGCGGATGCCCACAAAGCCCCTCTGCTGACCCTGGCTGGCCCGGCCCCAGGTTCTACGCCGCTGAGATCTGCATTGCACTCAATTTCCTGCACGAGAGAGGCATCATCTACCGGGACCTGAAGCTGGACAACGTGCTGCTGGACGCCGATGGGCACATCAAGCTCACGGACTATGGCATGTGCAAGGTGAGCCCCGCCCCTGCCCTGGCTCCGCCCCAGCTCCGCCCCACCCCCACCCTGCACATGACCACTGGGGTAATTGTCCCTACAGGAAGGCCTGGGCCCTGGGGACACGACAAGCACTTTCTGTGGAACCCCGAATTACATCGCCCCTGAAATCTTGCGGGGAGAGGAGTACGGTGAGTTTGAGCCTTCCCGAGGTACAGTGGCCGGGGCCTCCCCCCTGGCCTAGCTGTCTGGGGCCAGGATCCTCAAGCCGACGAAGGGCCAAGGAGAGGTTTTACTGAACGTGTCCACCCCAGTGAAGCCCACACTCCCCTGCCGTGTCCTGCAGATGGCCCTGGCCGCCATCCCAGCCTGTGCAGACTCCATGTCCCAGGGGTTCCTCTTCACAGAGTCCTAAGGGGGCACAAAGTGGACAGATGGGGCACTCAGCTCACTCCGAGCTGGTGGACCTGCCCATGCAGGCGCTGTAGAGTCGCTTTGGGCGACACAGGCCTCTGTCGGACCCAACACCCTGTCCACCATGCAGCCCCTCTCTCGCTACACACACTTGTGCCCCACACCCTCCCTGGGGGGGAACCCACGGGCAAGGCGGCCTGAACATGCATTCCAGTGTGGAGTGGCCTGTGTGTGTGTTCGAGCCAGCGAGGAGTGCGCATGCACTTGGGTGTGGCCTGGGCGCACATCTATGCTTGGCATGCGTGCCCTTCACATGCCCAGGGAAGTGCATCAGCTGCACCTGCACCTGCTTCACTCGTTTCCTTGCCATAAAGCGGTGGGGGACAGGCAAGTGGGTGGAGGTGAGAGGGCTCCCCAGGAGCCGTGTGGGCATCAGAGAAAGCAGGGCAGCAGGTCTGTGGCCAGGAGAGTCCCCGACGTGCTGTGTCACGTGCTGTGACAGTGTCCCCGACAGACTGGATGTTAGGACATCAGGCTACCAGAGGGCACGGGTGCCTGAGGGGAGGGCTTTGCTGAGAAAGAGCAACCTCTGGGTCTGCACGTCCATAGTCAGTGATGACCACCAGGGACACCACAGCCACAGCACGTGGGCTGGACACCTGGACACTGCACATCGGCGTGGGCTGGCAGCCGCTGGGAGCTGGACTCTCACGGTTGAGTAGGGCTGGCTGATGGCCTGCCTGACTGTGCCTGTGGCCCCCAGGGTTCAGCGTGGACTGGTGGGCACTGGGTGTCCTCATGTTCGAAATGATGGCCGGGCGCTCCCCCTTCGACATCATCACCGACAACCCCGACATGAACACAGAGGACTACCTGTTCCAAGGTGCGTGGTTGCAGGTGATCCACCCTGGCCCAGGTGCCCTGCAAGCAGGAGGGGTAGCCGTGGTGGCTGAAGTGCATACTCCGCAGTCACCTGCAAAACATGATCGCCTGTCCCAGCCAGCCAGCCACACCCAGGACCCTACCACCCTGGCCTCTGGGCAGGGCCTGGCCTCTGGACAGTGGGCCTGTCCCGATGCAGTTGTTCCAGTAGAGCCAAGCGGGATGGCAGGCAGATCCAAGTGGGAGCCGAGGCTGGGCAGTTTTGCAATTTAAAGAGACTCAGAAAATAAAACAAGGGCTATGGAGCTGCCGCAGGGCTGAGGCCCTGGGTCCAGTAATCCCAGTACCAAACACAAGCCCCACCGGGTAGGCCCACCCAAGCTGTCCCTCAGTGCCCTCTGGTGGCCAGCATGCAGAGTGAGGGACGAGCAGGTTGGGAGCTGTCTGGTCTCCTCCACCCGCAGTGATCCTGGAGAAGCCCATCCGCATCCCCCGCTTCCTGTCCGTCAAAGCCTCCCACGTCCTGAAAGGATTTCTGAACAAGGTACAGTCACAGTCATGCTCCTGGGGTACCTACGCGCCCCTGGTCTATGCAGGGCTTGGATTTCAACCCAGTATTGCACTCTGAACCTGCCCTCAGCATCTACTCATATGTAACAAAGTAATGGGGAAGAAAAGAATGGGTTCTGGGGGAGGGCCCAGTGCAGGGGGTCCCAGCTCTGGGTGCAGAAGACTCGGAGAGGGAAGGAGCTGCCTGAGGGGCAGCAGAAATGAGCCCGGTCTGTTTGCCTCGGACCTCCAGGACCCCAAAGAGCGGCTGGGCTGCCGGCCCCAGACTGGATTCTCTGACATCAAGTCACACGCCTTCTTCCGCAGCACGGACTGGGACCTGGTAAGCCGGATGGGGATCGAGGTGCTGGCATGGGGGATTTGCAGCCCTGGAGGATCCTGGTCACTGACAGGGCAGCACACGTGGCAGTGCTGGGGTTTGACCTGGGGCCATTCCTGGAGGAAATGTAGTGGTTGTTGGAGGAGTTCGGCCTGTGAAATGAGCTCTTTGAGAGAACGGAGAATTGACAGCTTGCGGTGTCTGCACTGGGCCCTGCTCTCCCCAAGGTGAGTGCCCAGGCCACACGGAGCTGCTGCTGGCCACATCTGCAGGCACTGTCCTTGTGGCCGTCAGCTGATTTCCGCTCCAGGGCTCCGACTGCTCCTGCAGGCCCTGGGTGGTGGAAAGGGCGGCCAGGCCTTGGGCCCTGCTGCACAGAGCCGGTGCCCAGTGTCCTCCAGAGCATGGACTCCTAGACCTCCTTGCTCTGGGTTCTCCACTGCCCCACCTGGCTGTGCTGGTGAGAGTGCTGGCAACTGTGCCTGCGAGCTTGCCCTTCTCCCGGCGTCTCTCCCCTGCTTCTTCTGCCACATTTGGACTCCACCATCAGGCATGCAGGGCTGAGCCACCAGGCCCTGGGCTCCTCAGACCTGGGTCCAAGGCATGGCTGGGTCTCCATGGCCCATGGGACGCAGTGGCCAGTGGGACACGGTTGCTAGCAAAACTGGGCAGCTGACCTGCCAGCCTCTCCGAGGCCACCAGGACCACCACACACACGTGCAGACCCTGCCCAGTACGGGTGGCTCCTTCAAGGCCCTTCTGTGTCTCCATTGGTATCAGGGCCTTGTGGCACCCTGTCACGTGGCCAGACACATCCACATGGACACCTGCTGACTGGACATCTCCATTTCCCAAGACCGAGGACTGCCCCAAGGGCCATGCATGTGTGCTAGGGGCTGAGAGGGGACGAAGGACCTACACCCAGACCCCCACCCCACCCTGCGCTGACCTTGGCATCCCGTGCATGGCGTGGTCCCTGGGTCTGGTGAGGATGACGCTCAGACGTCCGCTCTGCACAGCACCCCTGGGGCTCTGGCCCTGTTGTCCAAGGGTTGGGTCCCTAGGGACAGCAGGGACAGGCAGCATGCATGTGACCAGCCAGGGCGCTTGATGTGGAGACCGTGCAGCACAATGGCTATGGCAGGAAGCTGTGGCCAGCCCAGCACATGGTGCTGAGGGGACACAAGGGGCCAGTGTGGCAGGAGTAGAGTCCCCTCTTGGGGGTCCTAGACCTCTGCCCCTGCCCTGCAGGAAACAGGTCCCCTGGGCCTCGGCACACACAGTGCAGCCCCACCTGCCACATCCCCCACTGCCAAGACCACAGCCTCACGGGGGCACCTGGTGCCCACCGTCCAGAGGTCTGGCCCCATGGCCCAGGTCGGGCTTGGCAGACAGCGCTCTGAGGGGTCAGGGGCCCAGCAGGCAGAGAACAAGGGTGCGACACAGGCTACGGGGCACTCAGGGAGACTGAGGCAGGGCTCGGACCTGGCTGTCGCCCACTCTGCTCCAGCTCCTCTGAGGTAAATCTCTAAGCAGCCCAAGGGGAGAGGCAGAGAAGATAACAAATGCTTCCTTTTTTTCATTTTTTAACCAGAAAATGTACTGATAAATAAAATAGGTCCTTCACGAAGGAAGGGACACCTACTTGGGACCCGCAGCCCTGCAGGCCTGGGCTGTGTGTGGGAAGGGGTCTCGCTGAGGTGGCTGCCTCCCTGACTATGGCCTGCATATACGGCCAGTGTCTGTTGCGCCACAGGTCCCGTGCTGGGCTCTGCAGCAGCGCACATGCATCTCTGCAAGTTCCCAGACAGCCGCGTTTCCCTTTCCATGTGGGTTCTGTCGCAGCTGTTGTGATCTCTCCGCTCCCAGCAGGGTGGGGTGCCATATGGGTGGCCCTTGAGGCTCTGTCCCTGCCTCATGGAAGGGAGTTGACCCACATGCTGTCCATCTCCGGGCCACACAAGGCAGCTCATGGTGGGAGCAGGGTCCAGAGGCAACAGCAACCTCCTATCCAGGCCCAAGCCCGGCCCTACACAGGCACAGAGCAGGAGAGCAGAGGCGCAGCATAGGTGAGCACACATGAGGAAGATTCTGGCAGCTCCAGCTGCCACAGCAGAAGGCTGAGCCTAGGTACTCAGAACAGAGAAGGAGCTGGGCGTGGTGGCTCACATTCATAATCCCAGCGCTCAGGAGACTGAAGCAGGAGGATCGCCATGGGTCTGAGGCCAGCCTGGGCTACATAGCAAGACCCTGTCTCAAAGAAATCAAAAGAAGGAAGAGAAAAGGGCCATGATGTGGCCCAGGGGAGGCACAGGCACTTGGGTGCAGTCCCAGGACCCCAGTACTGCCATGAGCCCAAGCTTTTGGTCAGGTGGAGAGGGGAGGCACTCGGGTGGGGCCCTTGCCGTCCTCCTGCAGGTGTGTAGTGCCACATGCACCGCACTGGGCCCTCCCCCAGGCCCTTCCGCGTCCTCCTGTGTGTGCTGCAGGGGCAGGAGGGTCTCTGGCACTTTTGCAGTTGGGTTCCAAGTCCTTAAGAGAACGCCTCCCCCCCATCCCAGGCCGCCATTTCTGCCACAGTAGTCCTGGGGATGCAGACCCGGCTGTACCAGCCCCTAGGGTGATCAGCAGCCTCCTGCTGCAGCCCTGGTGTGGCCCCACTGCCCGAGTCCTCTGGCTCACAGACAAGTCCCAGAGCACAGGTGTCCTCTCAACCATGTCCTCGCCCTGCCCAACCCAGCCTGCTGTGACACCCCTGCTGTCTCATTTCCCCAGCTGGAGAAGAAGCAGGCACTGCCGCCCTTCCAGCCGCAGATCACGGACGACTACGGCTTGGACAACTTTGACACACAGTTCACCAGCGAGCCCGTGCAGCTGACCCCGGATGACGAGTGAGTCGGGGGTCGCCAGGGAGCGGGAACCATCCGGCAACAAGTTCCACAGTGCCCTGGCCCCACAGAGGGCAAGTGGGCCTGCTTCTGGCTTCCTCTGTCCTCCTCCCACTGGCCACAGTGGGGCCCTGCCAGCATGTGCACATGACCACCACTGTCCCCTCTGCTTCCAGGGACGTCATAAAGAGGATCGACCAGTCAGAGTTCGAAGGCTTCGAGTACATCAACCCGCTTTTGCTCTCCACCGAGGAGTCTGTGTGAGGTTGCGTGCATCTGTCGTGGACACGCCCGTGAACGACCCTGTAACTTTATCCTTAACCACAGCATATGCATGCGAGGCCGGCCAGGCTCTGCGCAGCCAGGGAGGACACTGGCCGCTGATGCGTAGCGGGACAGAGCAGCCCCTCGCGCCTGTGCCCGCGGAGGCCGGCTCTGCTGCAGGAACAGATGGCTTCTTGTGCCCACACCTCGAGGCCAGGGCCAGGGTGGCCCTGCCCCTGGGGGAGGCTGTCGCGCCATCGGAGGTGCACGTTTCGGCAGAAGCAGAACTCAGTGTGCTGACCGCTCCTCCAGGGAAGTGAGCGTGTAATGTCCTGAGGAATAAAATGTACCGATGGTATCGCAGCTTCCCTCTGATGCCTCTTTTCTGCGCCACGTCCGGGGCACAGCCACCCCGAGGAGAGCGGAGCCCACAGCAGGCAGGCGGGGCAGGGCACGGAGTCCAAGTGCCTACAGGACGCAGCGGCGAGGGCTCACAGACCTGGACACCTCCAGTCCCGGTAAGTTCCCGTCGACGGTCCTCAGCACGCACTTCGGACCCACCGAGGAGGGCACTGCCCACCAGCTCCGAGGACTGTGACGAGGACCACTGGCTTGCAGAGATTCTAGAACCTGCCACCAAAGCATCGGTAGACCAAAAAGCAAAACCACAAATGGGAAAATAAAATCGAGAACTAATTGTGCACAAGTGTATTTCTGAGAACATGAACCAGTGCCTCCCGGATGTCTTGTGTTCTGTATTAGGTTTTTGGAAAATATTTTTATTGGTAATACAGTGCTCAGAATTAGAATTTTTTTTTTTTTGGTCTTTTTTGAGATGGGGGTCTCACTATGCAGTTTAGATTGGCCTTGAGCTCACTTTGTAGCCCAGGCTGGTCTTGAACTCGCAATGATCCTCCCACCTCAGCCTCCTGAGTGCTGGGATTACAGGCATGAGCCACCATGCCGCCCGGCTCAGAATTGGAAAATTTAAAAAGATACGTGTGTGACAGGCCCTAGTCTTGGTGTTGATGATGCACCTGCACACCCAGCACCACTGCACCCTGTGCAGTTCAGCCCCGCTCCACTTCTCTGGGAAGGGTGGTGTCCCGAGAGCCCAGCTGAATCTTCCATGGACCTGGGCTGCAGGAGCCAAGCTTCCAGGCCCGCACCAGGGCTGCTGGGTGGCAGAGAGATCTTGTTAGGAAAATCTAAGCCAGGAGGTGCTGCTGGCCCCACCCCACTCCGCGGGCTCCGTCCCTGCAGACTTGGCCTCCACTTGGCCGACACTCAAGTTCTCAGGCCTCCTCGAGATGGCCATGCCTGTGGCAACTCTCACCCACCCGAGGTGCTGGGGCCAGAAGGCTGTGTCCCAGACATGGCCTGGGTGCAAGCTCTGGGTGTCCCTCCACCCTCTGGCTATGGACACATCTCAGCCAGCACTCCCACCAAGGCTGAGGTCAGGAGATGCAGGACAGGCCCACACAGCCTGGTGCGGGGACGCAGCGTGGCCTGGGCAGCCCACACGCAGGGCTTATCTCAGTGTTGCCCTGTTGCCGCACAGCTTGTAGGTTGCTGTCAGGCCGCTCCCGTACAAACATGTGAATGTTGTGCCCATCAGAAGGGGAGATTTTATATACAGTAAATTGTTTTAGAAATTAGAGCAGGGAAGATATATTGAGGTACGCTTAGGAAAGGCCCTGAGACTTGCGACACCACCGGTGGGTGCAACAGGGCATGACTGAAGAGGCTCCCGACTTGGTGACCCCGGCAGTCTAAGCGTGTGCCAAGCCTGGCCAGCCGGCTTTCCCACTGCGGACAATGTCCTCACCCCCGCACCGAGGCCGTCCCTGCTCTCACGTGTCTATTAAAGACTAATGAAAATGCACAGGTCAGTATTATTTGTGTTGGATGCAGGCATGCCAGGGAGGCAGAGGTGTTTCCTGCCTTCATTTCTGAGGGCAGATTTACCAGCCATGTGGAGGCCCAGCTCCCACATGGTGCCCACTACACAGGCACAGCCCCCATTGCCATGGCCACTGCTCCTTGGCCCACACCTACTGCCGAGGAAGCCCGTGCTGCTGGCCCCAGCTTCCTACTGTGCCCTTTGGTCTCTTTCAGGAGGACATGCACTGGGGGTCACTGGTACGTGGCTGGGATGGTCCATTTCCAAGGCCAGTTTGACTGGACTGAGGGATTGCAGGAACCCAGCAAAGAGTGACTTTGGATGTCTCTGGAGGGCTAGGGTGGGAGGTGGCTGGGAGCCCCTGCTCCTCCCAATTCTGCCCGAGACCTGGATGGTGACCCCCGTCCTCGGTGCCTTCCCCCAGGCATGTGCCGAGGGTCCCTTGGCATCCATGAGCCAGGCTGGGGTGACACAGGCTCAGCACACTTGGACAGGCACATGGCCCCAGCCCGGCGTGTCGTTCAGAAGGGCAGTGTGAGTTTTTGGGATAGCCTGGGCCTTCACGCCACGCCTGTCCTGGACGGTGAACAGTGGGAAGAGTGCAAGCACAAGCACCCAGGTTCCACGTGCCCGTCAGCACCAACAGCACGGCAGATGAGTGCTGCCCGGTCCCTCTTGGGAGAAGCCACAACTGGGTATGGTGGTGCCCAGCCGCCTTGGAGGCTGAGGCAGGAGGCCTCAAGTTCAGGTCCAGCCTAGCTGACTTAGTGACATAGCAAGACCCTGCCTCAAAGTACCTTACAGGGAGTAGGGGAAGCAGCTACAAAGGCCCCGGGTTCCACCCCAGGACTGCCTGGGCCATGTCAGGCCATCTGGGTCAAGCAGCATGCGTCAAGGGCTGGTGTGGGTGACGAGGTCCCAACTGATGGTGAAAGGCCACTGTTTTGTTTTCATCAAGGCCATCAGCTCAGGCTGCTGCCCTGACACCTACATCAGTAAATGAAAACCAATGCCTCAGTCTCACTAGCAAGAACCCAATTTTAATGTGCAGGCCCAAGCAGGGCCTTGGGTCCCCACGCTGTCCCTCAGCAGCTACCACTCGACATCCTCCGTACTCTCGGCCAGGCACTGTGCGAGGTGGCCATCCACATCCAGCTGGGTCAGCCTGTGGGGATGAAGAGACGTCACTAGGCCACATGGCCCCTGTGGAGTGGGAGAAGCTGCCCCAGTACCTGCTCCAGAGGCCAGGGATGATCACGCTGGTGTCCCTGCTGTGGGAGTCTGACCCGGGGCCCACCCCAGCCTGTATAGAGCCTAGCGACCACCTGGCCTCCCCTCCAGGCACTGCCACTGCAAGTGTGCGTGCTCTGTGTTTAGTGTTTCTGTTTTGCTGTCCTCGGCAGCTAACGAGGGGATCCGTCCCTGCACTCTCCCAGGCTGATTCAGCTTCTAGACCAGGGACATGGGACACAGGCTCTCCGGCTGGCAGGGTGACCCCTGGCTCCCGCAGCCCTTGGCCAACTCTGTGAGAAGTCCCGTGTTCATGCTGTCCTGACCCTGAGCCCATGGCTGGCTGTGACTCCTTCAAAAAGGCCAAAGCTGGGCATAGTGGTGTACGCCCTTCTACATGAGCCCAGCACTCTAGGAGGCTGAGGCAGGAGGATGGAAAGTTCAAGCCCAGGCCGTGCAGTTTAGTGACTGAGACCCCATCTAGAGATAACAAAGAGCAGGTAATGGATGTAGCTCAGTGTGACGGCAGGGGTCAACCCCTCAAAAAAGGACTGAGCAGAAATCAGGAGCCACAAACTGGACAGTCGGTGCTCAATTTCTCAGTGGGTTCAATCCCACCGGCTTAAAAAAATAAGATGCACCTGGAGTTGAAGACTTCACCCCAAAACACACTGGAGAGGTACAAAGGTCCCAGGGCTGTTTCAGTGGGAGCCAGCGGCCAGCGGAGACTCCAGGCCTTCCGGCCAGGAGCCCACATACCCCACCACTACCCGGAATGCTGGGACTCCCAGGGCAAGGGTCCTGCTCGCCTCTGGGGCACAAGCTCTCTGTGTGGGCAGTGCGGCTTCCAAAGGCCACAGCTGAGTCAGGCGGTCCCCAGCCACCCAAGCAGTGCTGCTGAGACATGGGCCTTGGGGGCGAGCACTCACTCAGGTGTGAACTCCTTTTGGCACAGTGGGCAGCTCCGCAGGGCCAGGGGCCCCTCCTTAGTCAGCTGTTCCTGGGGGGTCGGGGTCCTGCTGAGATCTGGCACATGCTGATCTTCTGGGGGTGGGGTGGGGCACCCTAGGGAACCCACAGCTCCTGGTAATGGCCTATCAGCAGGGCTTAGGGCCCCGCGCGCCGGCGGAAAGGGTATCCAGGTAAAGGTCTTGGTCCCTACGGTGAAGACCTCAGAGGCTGCAGGGTGCTCCAGCCCTACTTCCTGCAGAACAGGGGTCGTGAGGCCAGGCCCAGGGGCTCCGCCTGGGCAACCCGCAGCCACCCTGCCGTCCCACGGACACACCTGGCTGGGGAAGGGGGGCAGCGGGGGCAGTGGCTGGCTGTCCAAGATCGGATCGGAGCGCACAGCGCGTAGCAGAGCGGCCCACAGCTCGTTCTCACCACTGCTGGGGGGACACTGGGGGCCGCTGTTGGGGGCCCAGGACGACACGGGAGGGTCACTGGGGCCTTCTGCAATGGGAGGCCTGGAGAAGGAGTCCACAGTATAGATCGGGGTTGGAGGCCCATATGGAGGATCAGAGGGTAGGGGGCTTGCACGGAGACGGGAGAGGTCTAAAGGCTTACAGGGAGTTCAGAGGGGTTAGCGGGAGGGAATCGGGCGAGGTCGCGGGGTGGGGACGGGACTGCAGCCGGGCCACCGCTCTGCCTCCACTGAGGCCCCTCCCGTCCCCCGTCCCCCAAGCGCCGCGCCCCTCACCCGCCCCCCGAGGGCGCCCTCCGACGACTCAGCCTCCCGCGCGGTCTCCAAGCCGCCGCCTTCTCCATCCGGCGCGGGCGGAAGTGAGAAGTTGGCGGACCGCCGCCCCGCCCCGGGCAGCGGCTCCGCCCCCTGGCCGTGGCCCCGCCCCCCGCTGATCTCCGCCCCCGCTGATCTCCGCCCCCCGGGCCGCGGCCCCGCCCCCGCTGATCTCCGCCCCCGGAACCAGGGCCAAGACTGGGAGCCGGGCCCTGCCCTCTCCACCGGAGCGGTGGCTGCGACTGTGGTTCCGCCAGGAGCTGCTGCGCCCCGACCCCAGCCTTGGGGACTGGCGAATCGCCCCAGTCGGTACCCGCCTTTCCCGTGGGTGCCCGGGACGCGGTAGGTCAGCGGCCCCTCAGTGGACACGTGGACATGCCTCAGTTTCCCGCCTAAAGACCCCCGCGGGCGGTTCCACGAGCTCCTGGGTTGCCGAGACCCCCTTCATCGCCCCCTCCTCCTTCACGACTGAGGAGCTCGGGTTCCCCCTTCGGGGAGAGAGGACTGTGTGGCCGAGGTTCGGGTTAGGTCCGCCCGCGCGAGCCTCTGCTGACCCCGATCCCCAGCAGTCCCGCGGGCCGCCGCTGGGTGGCAGCAGACGCCCAGGCTCCCTGGAGCTGCGGGCCCAGGTCCAACTTTCTGCCTCCCCCAAGCCAGATGCGCTAGGGTGACAGCCACCAAGACCAGGACCTGCAGGGGCTGGGTAGTGGGTCACCAACCGACAGCAAGCTGCGGAGCTAGGACAGCCCAGGGGCTCCCAGCTCCCTGCATGTGGAGGCTCCCTGCAGCTAGCTGTTGCTGGCCCAAGTATGGGGGTCTCTGTTGTGTCACTGTGTTTCTGCAGGGGGCAGTAGGACCTCTGGAAGGCCTGAAGGAGGACAGACACATGTGTCCAGCAGGAACAGGTGTGGGTCGCATGTGTGCAAGGGCACCCATGTAGCACCCATCTGAGGGCCTTCACACCCGCCCTCCACCCTTGTCCCAGCTTTCCCAGCAGTACCTGACCCTTTGGCCCAAGAGGGCAGAGCAAGACAAAATGCACTGGCTGGAGGCCCACCCAGCCGCTGTGGGCCCCTTGTGCAGCTTGGTGGCCCATACCCACCCCTGGAGAGGGACAGGCCTTGGGGCACCAAAGCTGGAGTCACTCCTCGCCTTTGGCATTAGCTACCGATGGACCTCCTTTGTCTTTGGTTGCCAGGACTGGACCACCTGTCACAGTCCCAGTCCTTGGTCCCCAGGGGCCTGAGCACTTGGCCACTGAAACAAGGCAGCAAGTCCTCTTGGTCTCTCCCACTGCTTGAGATTAAGAAGGCCACATCGGAGGCTCTGTGCCTACGGCTAGAGAAGGGCTGGAAGGAGACCTGCTGGGGCCAAGGCAACAGTAGCCTGCAGCAGCCCCTGGGGGCTGGCACAGGGACAGCCACTCTAGGACCCTCGGGAGGTAGAAGGGGAACATTGGTCCCCTCCCTGGAGCCCACCTTGCCCAGCCAACCCGAGTTATTTGCATGAGGGGGTTCCAGCGTTGAACCTTACCTCCCCCCAGCTGTCGCTACAGGGACGGGGAAGTCAGTGTTACAGGAAGATAATTTCTGGTTGGGACCGACGCTGGCAATGTGGAAACAAGATTTTTATGAGCCAGAGTTTGTGCTTATGAAATGATACTTGCAGAAGAGGTGCCTGGGCAGAACGGAACGCGCCCAGAGGCTCTCGAACCCAGGCCAGCCTGGCTGGGAGCCACCTGCTTCGTCCTCTGGCTTTGTCCACTACTTGATCTGGGTCTGAAGGGAAAGACTGTGCCTGGGGCTGTTTCCAGTGACACAGTCTGCTGGCAGGTCAGAGGCCATCTTTCCTGTCCCTGCCCTTCCTTTCTCCCGCCAGGGAACAGGTGTCCCAGCAGCTGGTGTCCTCCGAGTGGCAGGAATGGACTCCTCACTCCCTCTCCAGCCCTGATTCCCCCAGGCGCCCCCTGGGGTCCCCAATGGCCTCTGCCTGGGCAGATCTCTGACCCCAGTTCCAGAACCTTTTGGGGTGGCCTGAGTGCACTTGCTGTCCCCACATCCTGCTTGGGTTCCCAGGGTTGGGTGCCACTGGGCTGCCTTGCAAACAAACGGGGTCAAGACTGGCCCTGAGAAGCCTGTGGCAGCGGGCATGCCTGGGCGCATGCGTGTGGCGTTTGGCTGCTCCACCCTCTCCATGTGGCACAACCACATGGCCGCCATGCAGGGTGCCCCGCCAGTGCCCACTGGCTGCATGAGAGTGGCTGAGAGACCTGAGCCACTTCCGCTGATCGGCCTTCTGACGCAGTCAGGCAGCAGGCTGCCCATGCCACACCTGCGCCCTATGCGTGCCAAGCCAGGCTGCGTGGAGTGGGCACGGCAGCATTTACAGGGTGCGGGAGTGCCAGGCAGACAGGCTGCATGAGACGTTGCCTGGGAAACGTCTCAGCTCCGGGCAGCAGAGCTGTGTTCAGGCCCACACAGAGGGTGTGGGGGTCAGGGCGTGCCAAGGCACCTTGGGTGCTGGCGACCTCCATGTAGCCTTGGGCTTGAGGGCCACAGCCAGAGCATCCAGTCAGAGGTCGCCAGGCTCAAGCCACAGCCCCACAATCCTGCAAGCTGAAGGGTATCTGGGAGGAGCTGGCCTGTCCCAAGGGCCCAGTGGTGTCCCCAGGCTGGCCACCTGTTCCCGAGTCCACAGCAGTGCTTCGAGCACTCAGGGGCCTCAACAGCTCCACTCCAGACCCTGTTGGCCTGACCTGGGGCAAGCCCAAGTCTACTCCAGTGTCCCCTCCCCAGGCCACCCACCACCCCTCCAGGCCTCCCTGCAGCACGAGTGGGACCCATGAGTGCCCCTCACTGTGCCCAGAGCTTTGCAGGGTACCTGGCATCGCAGAACCCACCAAGCAGTCCTGGGCAAGCAGGAGAGGGGAGGGCACAGGACTCTTCCCTCTGGGAAGTAAGTCCAACAGAAACGCAGCTTTGGGGCCATTGAGGATGGGAGCAGAGTTCTCGGACACCCTGGAAATGTGGCTTCCAGGGTCCAGCAGAGTCAGCATGGACCCTGGTCTGGTGCTTTTGGGGAGATGCTGCTGGCCGGGGACTTTGGGCCTGCTCTGCACCCTCAAGGCCTCTGGCCGGGTGCAGGACAGTTCTCACAGTACCTAAGTGATGCAGTTGATCCTGTGGGCCGCATGGCCAGCGCTGTCCTCCCCATATTTTGACTTTGTGGTTTTTTTTTGTTTTTTTTTTTTTTTTTTTTTTTGTGGTACTGAGCCCAAGGCCTTGTGCATGGCAGGAAGCCCCCACCAGGAGATACACCCCAGTTTATTTCTCTGACTTTCTGAATGGCCCACAGTATTCTTCCGTGAACACCTCCCTTGGGGTGGTCGGGCTCCACAGCTAGCCCGCAGTCAGGGGCACACGCATAGTGGCAGCCTCGGCCCTGCTGCCCAGTCTTCCAAGGACCTGCTGGTAAACGAACTGAGCTACGCAGGCCAACGACACCCAACGGGACACGGGCCAGCACAAACAGGCTTTGCGTTGCCCAGCCCTGGCCAGCCTGTCCCGCCGGTCACCTGCGCGCCGCCGACCCGAGGTGCACCCTGACTCATCCTCCCCACGACCTGCGGTCACTCTTCCAGCCTTGGGTCCATCTGTTGCCCTAGCGCTCCCCGCCCCAAGCCACGCCTTCTCGGGCACCACCCAAAGACGCACACCCCCACCCACCCCGCACACCAGGCCACGCCTCCTGGTGCTCCTCTCCGCTCCTCTCACACCTCCCGGTACCTCCTGGCCGCACCCGCCACGCCCTACCCCTACCTCCGGGCCACGCCCAGCGCCCCCGCCCCACCACGCAGGCCCCGCCAATTCCCCCCCCTCCCGCCCGGCCTGGCAGGGCCCCGCCCCGCTTGCCTCCCGGTGGCCGGCGAGGGTCACTGCACCACGACCTCGCGCTCCAATTTCCTCTAGTCCGCAAGCTGAGCCTGGCAAGGCCGCATGTCAGAGACTTCTCAGCTCGAGGTCTTCCCAGGGCACCTGCCAGAGCACAGGCGAGCACGCCAGCTCAGGCTAGGGGTGCGGTGGCCGCCTGTGGACAGGTAAAAGCAAGTAGGTGAAATTAACTTAAATACCGCGCGCCGCCGAACGTGGAATCTCGGTGCGCTCTGCGTGTTCTCGAACCTCACGTCGCCCCCACCTCATATCAAGCCCCCTTAAGACATCTATTGTGGTAGCAGAGGTCCAGGGGCTTTGCGCAGAACCCAGCATCTGGTTCTTACAGGCTGCACACCTGGACGAGGCTCTGGGAAACTCCCCTTCTCTCGGCCTGACTGCAGGGAACCCCAGGCCGGGCTTGCAGGTCCAGCTGGGTGGTGGCCGCCCGGCCTTGGCTGAGCAGCCAGGGAAAGGCAGAGCCACGCCCCAGGGACCGTCCCAGGCCTGGCTCACTGGCCGTCGCTGGGCATGGCAGGGCAAGTGTCTTGCATCGGAGGCCCCACATCTGAGGTGTAGTCTGGAACCCTGCAGCCCCCCCATAGGCACGAGGAGGGCCGTGTCTGACCCGGCCTTGCTACGCTATGGGAATGAGCAGAGACTGAGTCCGGGACGGGAAGTGGACACTGAGACAGTTTAAGGGTGGTGAGCAGCCACAAGTGGGCAGCTCATACGACCAGGTGACACTGAGGCTCTAGGAGCCCAGAGCATCCCTGTCCAGGCTAAGACAAAGACATGGCTCCACTCCACTGCTCCTGGGCCCCAGGGTCCCCTGCAGGGCTCCCATTTCACGGCCCCAGCTCAGGAGTCGGGCTGATCAGGAAAAACTGCAGGGTTAGGGAAAGTTGCCCTTGCTCTGTGAAAACACAAGTTTGTGGGGAAAGTTGGAGAATTTAAATGTGCCACATGCTGGCGTGGAGGCATCAGCGAGGGCTGGGTGCAGCTTTGCCCAGCTGGGGCTGGGGGGCTGCTGGCAGCCAGGATCCTGAGCCCTTGCACCTTCTTGGGTGTGGTGTGGTGGCCACTGGGGCTGGGAGAGGCTGGGATGCCATGGAAGCCACTTCTACCTTCTCCAAGTAGGAAGAGGCTGGGCGCTGTGTTCTACGG